CGGAATTTAAAAACATGCTATTCCATTTCAACCAGTTATTGACGTTGCTCCATATACCATGGCATTTATTCTGCTATCAAAGATCGCAGCTATCTGAAATGACAATGGAAGTGTCATCAGCATAAATCGTGAAAGATACATTTGTAGAAATGGTTTTTACATCATTGATATGGTGTGCATATAAGACAGGACCTAAAACCGATCCCTGTGGAACACTTGTATCAATATCAACTACAAACGAATTAATCTGACGACAGAGATTATCATAGTCATTTAAAATACCGACAAAGTGCTTGCGGTCCTGCTAAAAGGAGTAGATCCAGTTAAGAACAATATCTGCACTGCATCATATGAGTGCGGCGATCAATATAGTCAAACGCTCTATTCAGATCACAAAAGATCCTAGCAGGGACAAATTAACTTGTTCAATATATTCATTATGGACTCGATATCGTGGAGGCTGTCGCTGGAGTGTTTCTTAATTCTCGTCGCCGATTTGACTCCTTAAATTTGGACATAATGGCAGATAAGCTAGAATGCTTAGGCATAAGAGGGCCTCATATATGCTCAAAGGAAAGAAAAAAAAGGGTCAGAGTTATTGAAGCGCACTTGGATTTTGATTTTTTTCTTTTCTTTTATGAACGGGTAGTTGGTATTTCTAAACGACTGCTGCGTCTTGATGGTTCGGGATGATACGTTCATTGTCGTCTGAATTTTGTAAACAAAATCACTTGAATGTACACTTAGGGAAGACAGTTGTGATTGAGTTTACTGGCCGGTATATCAAATCTTTACTAAGCTGCCGGATTGATATTATATATAAATCACACCACAAAGTCTCTTGGTTCTTGTATTGACGGCTCCTTGAGATGCTACCGAGGCATAAACGATCTTAGCGATAATAACTCACTTCTTGAGAGTCCACTAATTGCTTTTTATTGCGCGTTGGTGTACTGCTTTATATAATATTGTAAACTGTAGGCAAGCTAATGATGCAAAAGGGCCTGTCTAGGTTATTTTTAGGCGCACTCTTAGACAATCCTGTAAATAGATCTTCCAACAGCAGAAAATATTAACATTGCCTTGCGTATACCTATTTAAAGTACACTTAATCACATATAAAAATAAAGATTCACTTAAGAAACACAGTGGAATTTGCAATGTATTTCAGAGAATTCATTCATTCAAAATGAACGATTTTGTTTTTTATGCCGAAAACGTGCTTGGTTATATATTTGCTTGTAACATTCGTCTTATACATTTTAAAAAAGTTAATACGTACATCGTTTTATTATGTTCGAGGAATGTTCAAAAAGTATATACTTTTTTGTTATGTTGGTACATATGTCCCTAACATACGTTTACATTTTCAGGCATTTTGCATCTTTAATTTTTTGTGAAACAGAAGCGTGTGTGCTTGGCGATTTTCGGTAAAAAAAAAAAGTAACAAAGAATTTGTTTGCAATTTTGTGTAAAAAATGGAATACAGTGCTGCAAAACATTTGAAATGTTGACAACGGTAAATTTACTTTAAGCAAAAAAAAATGTTTATAAGTGGTACAAGCTGTTCCAAGATGGCCAAGAAGACGCCGATGACCTCGCTTTGGACGCCCCAGCACGTCAATAACTGATGAAAGCGTTGAAGAAGTCAAACAAATGGTGAAGAAAAATCGTCGAATCACTATTAGAGAAGCGACTGAAGACCGTGCGATGCAATTCTTTCCGGAACGTGTAGCTGAAAAATTTGTTCCGAAACTGCTTAATTTTGAACAAAAGGACCTTCGAAGGAGCATCGCTCAAGAGCCGTTAAACAAAGTCCAGATATGCTCAAAAAGGTCATAAATGGTCATATATAGTTATGACGTTTAAACCAAAGTCTAGTTGCCTCAAGAGTTAGATCAAGAATTCTTGGTACATCAAGAATTCTTACCACTGTCAATAAAGAGTAGAATCTTGAAGTTATAGGTCGTTTAGATGGATGTAGCATCTCGATAATGCTCATTCGTAGTTCTTTGTGTCTATGGCCCCTTGCGACTTTTTCCTGTTCCCAAAACTCAAGAAACCCATAAAAGCAAAGTGGTTTGGAAGCTTTGAGGAGATAAAGAAAAAAATGGCTGTGTTCTTACCAGAAGTGGTTCGACAATTGGAAAAAGTGTTATCATAAGTGTATTATATCTTTGGAGGGGTGAGGGGATTACTTTGAAGGTGACAATATTAATTTTGACGAATAAATAAATACTTTTCGATAAAACTTGGGAATTGTGAATAAATTATCTATCTCACTATCATATATGTTTCATGATAATCGTCATTTAAGTCACCACTTCTATCAGTTCGGGATATTACCGCACGGGTTGAATGTTGACATTTGACAATTCTGACAGTTATGTCAGCGAATGCATTCGATCGCTTTGCAAATAAAAGATATAGTATACAACACGTTTGGTAATTTTTTAAATTATGTTTATCGCACTTGTTGCATAATATAATATTAACACACTTGTTGCATGATGCACTATTCTCTAGATTAATTTTTCCATTCATTGTGGCAAAACAAGGCAAATAAATTCACAGAGTGAAGTGTCACCTTATTGACAGAATTCTGTCGAATTTTAATGTGACACTGTTCTAGTAGGGAGTACGATAAAGTACGTTACAGCACGTTAGTAGTAGAAAAAAATGATTTTTACATTAAAAAGACAATGAAAAATCTGCACTTTTGTTGGATGATTGAAAATCACTAATTTACTAAAATTGAACTTTATGCCAGTCTTGCATATTTTTATTGGATGATTACAGTTGATTTTATGATCTTGATTTTAGATGCCGTCGATAGAATTAAATAACAAAATATTTTGGAAAATCCTTCCTCAGAGTAACTGAGTCAATTACTTCATATTTTCGATTAATCCCAAATGAATCAAAATTTACTGCTATGCGTGAAACGTGGCAACGTTGGAAAATATTTTTCGCACCAGTCTGTGATCTGATTTACACATTACCGTACCTATTTCAAATAACCGAAAAATAAATACACCGTAAAATTGTTGTTCATGTGATTTAACGTAAGACTGGTAGATCAAGGCTGCCAAGATAAAGGAGTTTGCTTTTTGACGTGTAACGATGTTAAAGTCTAACGAAATTTTAGGTTTCTCGGTTTTGAATAAAACGTTAGACGGTACTTCAAAAGATGTCGACTCTTTCCATTAAAGTCTAGCGGTATGGGAAATCATTTATTATTATTTCCGTTATTATGTTATTACCATGAACTGGACAACTTTATGCGGAATGAGAAGAGACTCAAACGGTTTGGATATCTTATTCACTTCGAAAAATCACAATCAAAATCACGTCAATCCAATCCATAAATGTTTAACTCCTCAATTTATTAAATACATTTAGTTTATTTTTATTTCGGCTAGATTTTTTTAGAACAATGGAGGATTGGCTTAAAAGATATCGCACAAAGCAACTCGATCGATAAATTATGATCCAAAATGTTACGGATACTCAAGCCCTAGGATTATTCCATCGATGTAGAAAATCGTAATTGAAAAATTCTCAATTTTAGATTTTAAGCGATTACATTAATACAATAATACAATTAAAATTGACGATACCAGTGTCAATTTTCAATCTTAAATTGGTTAATCAGAAGTTTCAACTGTTTCAAAATATTTGGTAAAATAAATAATTACTCTCTACTAGAATATACTCAATTATACGCTGATCAGTCAAAGATATACTTAAAGATATCAAGTTCGTTAACTGCGAGCTTAGCGATGAAGGTACCGATATTTTTGAAAGAGCCTATGAATACTTTCTAGGAAATAAATTGATATTATACAAAGAAAACGCGGGAGGAACCCAGAAGACCTATTATTTATTATTTATTTATTTATTATTTGTTACAGTACCCTGTGGAGGTGTCTTTGTAAAATTAGCACATTATTTTTCAAAGAAATTATGTTGTATTCATTATGAACCCGGAATCTTTGCCAATTAACCAAAATGATGTACTATGGAAACTTTCAGTGTCGCATGAAGTATCGAATTATCTTTCGAATGTAAATTACCCAATTTACCGTCTAACCTCAACTGGAAGGAGTTGTGTATGATTGAGATGATGTAATAAATTAGGAGATGATTTAAAAGCAATTGCAGATCAAAAACTCTTTAAATGTACTATAAAAAAAATTATTAAGAGATTTAGAACCATACCCGATAGAAAATTGTTTTCTCTAATCTTTAAATAATTTTTAATGAAGACAATTTCGATTATTGAAATGTGTAATAAAACCTAATGTCACTTCCTTTGGCGTTTTTTATATTATTTCTATGTAATGTGTTTGTAGTGTAACGTCAAATAAAGTTTATTATTATTATCATTATTTACTATTCCAACCCACACATTTTTTAAGGATATTGAGTACGATTTTCCATCATCTACGGAGATTTTTGTTTGGCCAAAATGGATATAACTACTTGAGATATCCATTGGTCAAAATCATTAATTACGTCGTAAATTAAATTATAGTTTGTTGGTTAAATCAATTTATTAGTTTTATTTTTCATCAATTATTATCGTTTTTAGTCATTTGGGAAAAAGCGGTTGAAGTTGGGGTTTACATGAACAATATTTAGGATTTTTAGGGCAATGTAAAAATGGGATAAAACATACCCTTTCTATTTAGAATAATAAAGTTTGCTAGGTTGGGGAAAGGAACCGTAAATGTGGCAACGTCGCCTATGTCACTATTGAATCGAGCCTAATTAGAAAACCCCTAATTTAGGTCTAATAATTCCTGAGATATATGGCCGCTGCGCGAATGTTGACAGACGCTGTATAATAAAAAATTATATCGCGTAAAAGAAACAAAAATAGTCACGCTTAACAGTCACACGGGGGTATTGAAAGAGCCGGTCACAAGAATATTCACTAAATGAATGAAATGAAATGAAAAGAAAAAATAATTAAACTATCGATGACAATAGCATACCTTGTTCGCCAAACACCAAACACCACTAATTAACACACACGCAGATCTGCTGGCATTCGGTCCGCGCGCAGAGCGTACCATACTCTGGGTTTAATATATTTGATAACGGCGGCGGTATATAAACGATTAGTTATAAAGATAAGAGGCGATAGTTAAGCCGATCGCATTAAGAAACTACTCACCAGTGTTTAATTATTTCAAACCCAAACCCTATTCCGTTTTCGGCCTTTTCTTTTTACAATCCATCATTATGTAGGTTATACAATTTATTTCACAATGAGCCGGTCAACAAAATTTATAAACTAAACTTCTCAAAGTTGCATTTTAAAAACCTTTAATTTTGCGGACGACATATTGGCATCAAACGCTACTAATATTGCAAAGAATACGGTGTTATCCTAAATGCTAATTTCTCAACGAAGCTAAAAGATCTTCAGGAGCTGTTAGATGCGAATTCAATAAAATAGATTAATTCAAAAAAATCATGTGTACTTGTGTTGAAAAGATAGTGAGTAGTACATATATAGGCATTGAGATTAATATAAAAAATGTATATTATACAATTTAAGTTTCAACATTGATGGACATAATTATCAATTTCAATTTTCAGTACCATTTAAAGTAAATACTAAACAGTGAAGTCATCGTCCTGCAGATATTCGTCATTTTTTTTAATTGCCTGTGTATTAAAGCTCTATACTAATTGGAGTAGAGGAGTAGAGTAGGTTACATTAGGATACTATACGATTACCATGTTGAAAACAGAAAACCAATTGAATGTACTCTAACGTCCCTAAATCACCAACAGACCAAAAAATGTCATATGCAATATTAGACTAAAATTGAAAATAACCGAGAGGGCTATGAATAACGGTTTCATTATTTCTAAAGATTATGCCAAACAGAAAACTACTTGGAAAAAGTTAGTTTTAATGTGTTAATTATTAGAATTGTTATATCAAGTGTTATCAATTATTTAAATTAATTTTACCGTATCACTTATTCAAAAATTGTTTTTACACATGAAGAAAAGTGCGACATGTTAGAAGCCTATTTGGCATGTTGTAAATATTCTGTTTTTTGCAAAAAAAATTATTACAAATGAAGACGTGGAAATTGGGGTTCCTGTCCCTTAATGCTGTCCAAAGGATTTAAAAAAAAAATACAAATTTTGGTACTTTTGGCAGGGGATGCAGAGAGAAAACTTTTTTTTGTCATTGGCATGTTAACTTCTTCCGCCAAAGCAAGTATAATTTTCAGTATATTTTATGGGCAAGTTCGATTCAGTTTTAACGTTTGGTTCTGGAATTGTTGGTTCATATTTTTACTATGGCACGCTGACCGGTGAGCAGTACATTGCCATTATTACTGAAACTTTGGATGGTAGGCAGAATATCCATTTTCAACAAGATGGCGCAGCAGCTCATAACTTCCGAGGCACATATCAATTTTTGATAACCATTTTCAATAGTAAATAGACTGCTACAAATCGACCTATCCCTTGACCTCCTAGGTCACCAGATATAACCCCACTTGGTTTCTTCTTGTGGGGTTATTTAATGGACCAAATTTATAAGTAAAGATACCAACAAGTTGATGTTTCAAAGGTTACAATAAGTGTAAAAATAAACCATATATATGGTAGAACACTCCTAAAGAAAATTCGCACAATAAAAAAAGGTGCTTAAAAATGTATTGGAGTACCTGGTATTGTTTTGGAACATTTCTTAAAATACTTTTAATCGTTAATCATAAGTTAATTAGGTTTCTTAGTTTTTTTTGGTTGTTTTTTTTTAAATATATAAGTAAACCATATTTGGAAGTGCTACTACCAGAAAAATATATCGCCATTATATCACGTGTATTCTCTTTCCCCCATATTTTTTTATTATATTTTCTGTTGGTGTTATACAACTGATCCAATTTTCCTGTCTGAACAGCTACTTTCCGAACGGATACCACTGCAGCATCATCGTGCCTTGCCTGACTTACAACATATTTATAAAAAAATATTTACATTACAAATATACAATGGTAACGAGGCAATCTTAAAACTTTATGACCCACTTGTTGTAGTTGTAGAGTGAAACAGCGATGTAGTAGTAAAAATACAAATCAAGTGCAGACTAATTTTAATTACAAAGCTACCAGACTTATATACTAGACTACAGCTTTCAACCGTGATGGAGTCGGGTGCAGTCAAACTTGAGGTTGTTCCGCTAGGACGCCAACATTTTTGCGTTCTATTAAGGGTTGCCAGATTGTAGTTAATTCTGCGCTTCAATGGCCAAAGGTGGTTTTATTGTTTTTAATGATTACTGCTTCCTTAAACTAGCGTGGTTCCCTGCGAACAACCCATGCTTCGGACGATTTGGTGTGGTGTTGTTTAGTCCATACATGTTCCGCTACTCCTAACCGTTAAATGTTACCCCTCATTGTGTGGTTCCTATGTTCTTCATGCGTAATGTTTAAAGTTCTTTTTGTTTCTCCAATATATGACTCTCCACATTCACGCTGAGTCGTTGTTTCTAGCCTTGTTCTTGTAAGTATGCTCCTTAGTATGAATACAGACGGAAGAAGAAGATCAAATGAACCAAGGAGAAGGCCGCCATCACCTTCACATCATTCACATACTATTCCACCTCACGCCACCAATCCAAGGAGCTAGAGAACGGCGCATACTGGAAAACACTAGCCGAGCACAAACGAGTCCCAAATTAGCTTCAATAGGTGAAAGAAATAGTTCTTTTAAATTACATCCAACAGAGATTTAAAGAAATAACTTCCTCATTGACTTAGGAGGAAGACCGCATCTCTATTGAAGAAGTTCAATAGAGCTTGTGCCAAAATCAGGGAAGGACTTCAAAGGAATCTTGAGAGGCAGCTGCTCAAAAGTACGGCCTGAACAATCAACAATAAAGAGAGGAAACGTACAACAAAATACTCGAGGAACCCTTCCAATATTGAAGAACAAATATTGAGCAAAGGATTGAACTTCTCCCTTGTCCCTTGATATACGCCAATGTTAGATATTATAAGCTCCATTGAGACGCTGCAACTGGAAGGCGGCAAATAGATGAATTGCGATGGAAAGGTGGGGAAGATAAGAAAAAGGACCACGCATACGACCAAGGAGGAACTAGCAGCTTACAAAAGGATATGAATATCAAGGTTCTCCTAGCGGACAAGGGTCACGCTGTAATCATCATATGCTGGAATGCGACCACAAAATCGAGGAGACACTTGCTATATTTTAGTGACCCTACTAGGACGACTGAAGAAAGAATCTAGCGCACACTTTATAACAACAGACGCAATACTCCGGATAATATTAGAACTTCGTTAACTCTGAATTATGCTTAACCTCTACATCTTTATGGAGTTCCAAAAATTCACAAAGATAATGTACCACTCAGACCTATCACCATTTTTCAGATTTCTCTTTCAAATCGTCCAGCCACTAGAGGGAAAAATTCCGTCATTTGCAATGTATTTGGTAAATATTTTATAGAACTTAACATTATGTCCTCAGACAAGTTTGTTAACTTTGATGTGGAAAGTTTACCCACCGGCGTGCGCTTTGAGGAATCGTTAAGACTTCGCCACCGCTGAAACAAGTTATGTAACTATTTAGGTGCTGTCTGCACAAGTCTTACTTTCAAGTCTCCGGTGAATATATGACATGGAATGATTTCAAACCCACGCTATTGATGCAACAACTATTAAACCTAGGGTCTGACTTTGATATGTTAACTTTACCTTCATCACCTGGAATAGAGCCGATGGTTAGTCAAATTCCTTTCTCAATTATCCAAATGGCTGCCTATCGTTTCCAGACTTCCTAGTAAGTTCTATCAGCATCTCTGTATATAGAAATCCTACACATAACGGACAGTACTTAACTTTCCAGTCTAACCATTAGGAAGCAGTGACGAAGCATCAATCGATACAGAACAAAACAATATTAAAAGATATTGCTGGCCCCAACCAAAAAAGTATTGACCAACACCACCAACATTTTCAAATTGTAAACGGAAAGCAACAGCAGAACTCTCTCTTTCTCTCTTGACGATCCCATATGTGAACTGAATCTCAGGATATCATTAAGGTAAATTACATATAGCAGAAGACCCAAAATGGATTCTTGTGGTACCCCAACCTGAACCTCAACTCGTTCTGTCTTATGGTAATTGAGTTCATCGCCAGCCAAAACCACAAGCTGAATCCGATTAGTTAAATAGTCATCAAACCAGCTATATGCCAATATTGTTACTTTCAAAAATCGATGAAATCGAATTTTGGAAAGTATCTGGCCTCGTATAAAAATTTTATATCTCGGTAACGGTAGGTCCTATGGGATCGCCTTTGGTACAGAAATGATCACCGTCGAAAAAAAAAATTTTTTTTTGTCTCTCCGTTCTCCGTTCTCCGATCTCCTCTTTTGGTTTTTCCTGAATAACTTTCGAACCATTGGAGCTACAAAATTGAAATTTGCATCCTTTTTAACCCTTCACGAGGCACATAAGCTTGTGAGACGCTTGTGAGCTGATACGACGCCGGTATCCATCTTTTTTGCGATTTTCGACTGTTTTTTGGACACGATAAGTGTCCGAAATTTTAAGCAATCGACTTCATATTTGGCACATATATGCAGCTTTGCCACGTGACGGAACCTATTGCAAATGGAGGGGGGCTGCGGGTCGTGAAGTATTTTAAAAAAATAAAAAATTGCGCCTGGGTCTACAATAAACATCATTTTTCAAAAACTGTTTACGAAACCAAAAACAATATGTAATATCAAATAACATCAAATGTGATTTGATAAAGACACGGTGTTGTCGAAACAATTGTCATGTAAAAATATATAATTTCGTGAAAATCTTAACTTTTAGTTCTTATTTATTGTGCTACTTTTATTTGAAAATGTATTTTGTCCTACAATCGGTTTAAGCTGCATTTAAAAAATAATTATTAAATTCGTTGCACAAGTCAGTGAAGCCATTGGTTAGCCGCTTAGACCTTTCGCTATTCGTACTCTTAGATTATCTATTAAATACATACCAGATTTTTTTCTACTCGT